TTTAGTTGAAGTTCAAGCTTAGATTGCCTTGTTAATAGCCACCCTGGAAGTACTTCCTGTAAAGTAATTAGCCGTTAGTTCCTTAAAGAACCTCATCTTCTCAGTGGAGGGCAACACCCAGAAAATAAAAATCAAGAGTCAGTGGTGCAGGGAGAGATAAACGCTATCAAGGTATCCCTGCTGCTATGAGGTGCATTTCACAAGCAGCGCTGTAGATAACTCAACCCCAGCTTTTGTCTTCTACATTGGTTGTGGGAATCAACAGTATGAGCAATAAGGTGTGTGGGGGAAAGAGGGGGGGCTTCCACTCTAATAAACCTTGATAGCGCTTTAATCTTTGCATCCTTTGTGTTACAACATTAGTGCAGAAACACAGCAGGGTGCAGCTCTAGAGTTGGAGTGAGTTTCAGGAAAGAGATGAAGAAGCGGAGAAAGGACAGAGGAGGAAGCCTGGTTTACTCATGGGAGCTCTGATGATTTGCTGCTCAGCCAAACTTCAGAAGTCACGGTATTGGGGTCCTGCTGCACGGCAACTGTTACCGGGGTAACTAGCCGGCAGCAGTCGGGTTCAGCAGCAGCCCGTTGTCCTGGTGTCGGGACCTTTAAGAACTGAAGTGAAAGATAACAAAGTACACACATTTCACCCATGGCTATTTACACTCGAACGAGAAGGTTGCAGAGGTAACACAGGGAGAGGCTGAAACACATGTCATCTGCAGGTGGGATTTTCTTCTTCTTCCGTTTGTCTGAATAATTAACTCCACCTAAAAGCATTTCTATTGGTAACAATGAAACGATCATATGAGAATAAATTATAAAATCTAAGAAGTAAGCAGGAAACAAATATGTGGATGAGTCTAATACATGATTTTAAAGAGACTCATCAAAATGGAATAGAACAACTGGAACAACTAACTTAACCAATGAAATCTTTTGCTCAGTTCAGTTAATTTTCATTTTACATCCTCATTCTTACGTCTTATTTTATATCTCGTATTGAAGCACTTTGGTCACAAATCACTCAATATTAAAAAAAAAAAGGGCAATAACTGAAACCATTTATCAATTTAAGTGACTAGCTCTACACTTTCAGGTCCTCAGATCTCATATTTACATACTTTCTGAGATGTACACTTCTATCTGTGTAATGGTATCCGTGTACCTGGGCTTCAAACAATGTGTACAGCACACAGAGTTAACTTATGGGCGACCGTGGCTCAGGGGGTTGGGAATCGCATCTGTAACCGGAAGGTTGCCGGTTCGATCCCTGGGCTCTCTGTCCTGGTCGTTGTGTCCTTGGGCAAGACACTTTACCCTACTTGCCTACTGGTGTTGGCCAGAGGGGCCGATGGCGCGATATGGCAGCCTCGCTTCTGTCAGTCTGCCCCAGGGCAGCTGTGGCTACAACTGTAGCTTGCCTCCACAAGTGTGTGAATGTGAGAGTGACTGAATAGTGGTATTGTAAAGCGCTTTAAGTGCCTTGAAAAGCGCTATATAAATCCAATCCATTATTATTATTATGTGTAGATGATTTGCACTAAGCAAACACGTGGATTTAAGAGAGAAATTGAATAAAGGACTTTTCTTGGATCATATTTACACTGCTCACAAAAGGAAGACTTGATCATCACAGTATAACAGACAGTCAAACTTCAGCTGTCAACATGTCCAATTAGAAAGTGAATCAATTTCACCTGCTTTGGTGTAAATAAAAGTAGCAATAAGTAGACTGGAAGGGCAACAACAAGGCAATCCCCCCCCCCAAAAGGGGATAATTTTCCTATACACCAATGCTCTTTCCTTATCCCCCCCGACAGTTTTTTCTATATTTATGCTTTTTGCTACTGTCCTTGTCACTACTGGTAGCATGAGACAGTACCTGCACCTCATTGAGGTAGCATAACTTTTCAACTCCTCCAGGAAGGCATGATCATATGTGCAGCATCTCACAGTACAGTCTCAAGAGTGTGAAGGACATACAGGCCATTACACGAGGAAAGCTGGACAAGCCTGTAGAACCAGCAGCATGACCAATACAAAATGACCTTCAGTGGTCTATTTATGTGCATGTTTCTGACAAAACTGTCAGAAACAGACTCTATGAGGGCGGCAAGAGGTCCTGATGTCCTTTAGTGGGACCTGTGCTCACTGTCCACCATCATGCAGCTCAACTAGACTTCACCTGTAAACAGCAGAACTGGCAGGTCCTCCCACTGCTGCCCTGTTCTCGTCACAGATAAGAGCTGGTTCACACTGAATACATGTGGAAACATGAAACAGTCTGGAGTCTGTGGCAGATGTTATACATTTACAGCATCATCCAGCATGACTGGTGTGGCAGTGGGATGGTGATGGTCTGGGGATGCATATCTTCGGAGGGGTCACACAGACTTCCATGTGTTGACCCTCTAAAGCCTGAACCATGAAATACTTGCCAGAAAATTCAAATTCAAGTGTTTATTGAACCTTCTAACAAATAACAAAAAATAAGATTATAATATATCATAATATAATTTATGTTTCAATTTGTGTCATTTTTGCTATATTGTGCAATTTGTTCACAGTAACACTGTGTGTATCTGATTGTGTGTGTCAGGTTTTTAAGGTAAAAAACTAATGTATCAAATATGATCCACTTGGCGTTACAGGGTTAACCCAGTGCACCCTGACTGCTTTTAGGTACGAGGATCAAATCCTCAGATGATGTCAGACTTTATGCTGTTCCTGGAACTTGACTTTACACTAGTTCATTGATTCAGGTGTGGGAGACACTATCCCATGTCTCAGTGGGACTGTGGGCAGACATTGCCAACTGGTTATTGTAGGTTTTCATTTGTTTTCATGAACTAGACATTAACATTACTAGGCTTGTCTGTGAAGGTTCTCAGTCATCCAGGTCGTCGTAGTCAAAGGAGCTTGCAAAGAAAAGCGTCTGGACTTCTTTAAGTTGCTTGAAGACGTTTCACCTCTCATCCAAGAAGCTTCTTCAGTTCTAAGGTCAAATGGTGGAGAGTCCCAGATATAAACCTAGTGGGAGAGACCCCCCACAGAGGGACAAAAGGAC